TTACTAAAAGTGTTCAACTCTCTGATCTTTAACCTTTACCGTTAAGTAGAGACGGGGGTTGGTTTCCTGTTTTCCGAGATGGGTAGTGCCTTAAAGATATTCCAAGTTCATCAATTTGGTGTTTTAATAGTTCGCTTTCACTTAAAATTAAAAGCTGTTTGAATGGCGGCTAATTCTGAGAGCCTTAATATTTTGTGTGAAAATTTTCTTATAAACCCTAATGCCACCCCCCTTATCAAAACCCGCTAGCCTTGTATTCAGCTGTGTACAGTGTGCACTGTGTGCAGTGTGAAATCAACACAGCACATGCAGAATTTGCAGCTAAATTCAAGCGGATTTTGATAAGTTTACACACACATATCTCTGTACTCAAATAACACGCAAAGGTTTTAATTGTTGTAAATCGGACATCGCCCTCTTTCCATTTTCCTCTTTGAGCTTACATTTCCTTAAAACACAAATTTTCTTTGTTTTAAAATTGACAGTGGATAAATTGGAACGTTTGTTGTTCATGGTTAAAATTTTACGTTTTGCATTTTTAAATCCAATTTTCATGTAGAAATTTAGAATACCACAGTCATGCTTTTATTTAGGCAAATGATACAATTAAATTATAAATACAATTTTTTCTTTATTTATTTGTCTGTTGTAAACCTAATTTTACAGTGAACTTGAAAAAAATAGTAAAACCATTCAAAATTTTACAACAACACCCTTGAATTTATACATAAGCATTTTTTGTATTTTTAAGGAATAAGAAAAATTTAAGCCTGTTCCTACATTTTTTCAAAAAAAATCTAAAAATACGCTAATTTCCAGAGCTTTTTCACAAAATTTTTCATTTCGGACATATTTTATTTAAAAACTTAAATGCCCGTAAATTGTTGTTTTCAACATTTTGTTTGCAGTTCCCCGTATGTCTAGAGCGGAAACTAACGAGGAAAACCTACTTCTAAGAATTTGAAGATGTATCGGAGATTTCTTATTCTCGGTTTTATTCACATTCAGACAGTTTAAACGTTCTTGAATGAGAGTTTTTATTTATTCACAAATAATGCGTTCATAGAATTTTTTGCTTGTCTGCATTTAAACCTTTTTTGTTACTTTTTGTTCTTTTGAAATGTAGAAAGGAAGGACTGATGGATAGAAATAATTATGTAAATATTTGTCCCCGAAATGTTGTCGGAATTGGGAACGGAAATAGCGCAATAATTAGTTTCAAATGGCTGACATTAATTTGGCGGAATATTCTAAAAATGCCGCGTTTTATTATTTACTAAAGGAAGATGACAATGATAACATAATTATTAAAATGGTAACGCATATTTATTCAGGGGTTTCTTTATAGAAACGCTTGGCCTAATTCGATTAGATTTAAGATGCTGATTTTTTCATGGATGCTTGCACGCTTGTAGAACCTATAATCAATACAATCGGACATATCTCTGCGCGCATAAACAATAGATAAATAAATAGACAGATAAGTTAACATTATTATCAAATACTTCAATGGCTCAAATGTCTCATTCACTTTGAGCCCCCCACCCCCCCCCTGGAATGTCAAAAAAAGGTTTACGCCCTGATGTCAAAAATCCGCAATTAAAGTTTCTTCCTAGCTTTGAGAGTATGATTTTTAACCCTCCAAAAACCAGAGAACAGTGATATTTTGAAATATCGTTTAAGATTTTCTAATTTTACAATGAACTTTAAATAAAAAATGCCCAGAAATAGTTGCAACAAGAAGATTACAGAATCTTTTTCTTAAGTAAAAGGGATAACAGATACAACATTAATTCCAGAGTTTTCTTGTTCTTGGTTTCTTTAAACTACTCTATAAATTCTTAACATTACTCTGTAACATCTGCGAATTTACATGTCTATGGTAAACATAAAGAAAACGGGAATGTGAAACTTTCCAAAAATTTGTTTGAATTTAGAGACAAGTTGGACAGAAAACAGTTTTTAGTGATTTTCAGACTGCTAGATGCAGAGGAAACTTTAATTTTAGCAGTTTAATAAAATCATTGTTTTTAATTTCCTCCTCCTTTGCAGTGCGCTGTGATGAGCTGTTAGCTGTCAAAGACGATATCTATACATATAAAATTGTATAATCTCTATTTGTCTGTCTGTTTGTTTGTTTGTCCAATCATAACTCAGGAACTAATGCACAGATTTGCCTCAAATTTTGGGAGACCCACGGAAATATTCTTAGATTAGTTTTGATTTAGATTAGTTGAGTGGGTCGAGAAAATTTAGCTTCCTGGTGCGGGTAAACTTGTGCAGAGCTGGGTTCCCAAGCTATTTTTATAATAAATAAATTAAAAACATCCGTAAATAATAATGGAACTTGTTACTAATCAATTATTAGTAATAATAATCATATTTGCAATAAAATTCAAATTAATTCTGGATAAGGTTCGGGATATTTGTTAATTTAAGCAACATACCAATCAATTTAAATCACGCTGGGTTATTGCATGGTAATGGCTTTCTATATCCAGTTTTAAGCTTGCTCAGTTTGGTCAGATCGTCATTATTATCATTATTATTTATTCTATTCAATATATACATCATTCAAAATTTGTGCATACAGAGAGACCACATAAATGAGAATAACACTGTTTTATTAAAAATAGAATGCAATTAATATATATTTAAAACTTAATTTCTATTGTTTTAGAAAATGTTGTATTTTTATCTCAAACGAAAACTGAAGTAATAAAATAAATTTATAACTTGATTGATTGCCAGGTTAAAACACTTCAACTCTTATCTTCGTAAATTTTAATTCTACCTTTAAATAAAAAATATTTCTTGTATTTATAAGTTTTCAATTGGTTTTCAGTATTCTTAACTTAGACCAAAAATTAAGTTTTCTGAATCGGAAAACTAGGATTTCAACGCGCTTCGCGCCCCTCTCTCTCTCTCTCTCTCTCTCTCTCTCTCTCTCTCTCTCTCTCTCTCTCTCTCTCTCTCTCTCTCTCTCTCTCTTTATCAGCTTTCCATTGCTGACTTATTTGGAAAGCCTTTCTATTCCGTAAATTTCAAAATAGCAATGACAAATTTAGCAGATTTGCCTTCTTTCGTTTATGGATATATAAACCGGGACAAAACATTCCTTGGGGTCAGACACTGAGACACTATTTGCATAAGCATACCTTTTAATTATTCAACCAAAAAAATGTTGAAAATAATATTTTTGCCGTTTTCCGTTTGCTGCAGTTTGAATATTTCTTGAAAGAAATCCATTTTCTTTAACAATTCTTAGAATAAAATAAATCCTTTATTTCTACTGCAATCTCTTCTCCAGGCAAAATAATTTAAATATCCATTTAGACTTAGCAAAAATTCTTCTTACATATATAGTGTTTCTTCACACAAAATCAGTGGCGTAACACAGGGGAGGAGTAAAGGGGTGAGGGGGGGGGGAAACAAACAAAAAGCTATAGAGAAGGAAAGCTGCTGGCCCAACCCACCCAGCACTGAAAGTTGCATGATCCGAGCCAGTATCTACTGTATATGCATTTCGTCATTTAGTCTGGACTACCCAGCGTAGAGTTGACCCAACACGTTTTATGCAACAATATAGCCTGGCAAGATCAAAATACACCATTGTAACTTAATTGCACCCCTAGAAAAGTTTTAGTTGGGCCAGTAATGTGAATGATCTAACTGTTTTACTAATTGACTAATAAGTACGCTCAATTTTATTAATTGATTAAACGTAAAACTAACAAAATGAGAATTGGCTCAAGCAAAACAAATTATCCTTTTTGTTAGAGTTTCCAACGTAATTGATTTTTTAGTTACGCGAAATTACGCGGAGTTATGCGAAATTATTTTTATTTTACATAATTTGGCAGTTTTATGCATAGTTACCGAAACTTTAGTTTCTCGAAATTACAGCGTAATTTTGCGTAATTACCGCGTAATTTTGTGTAATCACAGCGTAATTTTGCGTAATTACAGCGTAATTTTGCATAAATACAGCATAATTTTGCGTAATTACAGCGTAATTTCGCGTAATTTCTGCAAAGAAATTTCATGAAATTTTGCAATATTTACACGCAATTAGTGAAACTTTAATTTTGCAAAATTAACGCGTAATTTTGCCATTATCATGCCTTATCAGAAAAGTTTAAATTTTGCATAATTACAACCTAAATTTAAATGAAAAAATTATTTTCTAGGAAAGTAATGTCGTGCAGGTTAATCAAATCTTTTAGCCAACATTGTTAATGTAATTTTCATGTTTGACAATTAAATTAAAGTTTAAAGGGACCGTTCACTTATTTGGGTAATTTCAGGGTAAACTGAACTGCCTATTCGCTCTTGATTGGTAATAGTCTTACTTTTCAAAGACAACTGTGGCCGAAGAAAAATCCGATTTTTCGTTTAGAATTTGAGCGGAAAGGGACGGTCCCTCTCTGTAGACACTATTTGATGTTTTTTTCAGTAACAGTAGCCCAATAACACTTAAATTTATTATATTTTAATGTCATTATGTGTTCGTTATTATGTACTAAAAAACTTTTGATATTTGAGTTAGCAAGAAATTTACGCTAAAATATGTATACAAAGACGACGTCTCTACGACAATCAATTAATCATTACTCGTATTTTGGTTCGTAGATTTTGTAGATTTTGTTCGCGTATGTGCACAACTTTTCATTTGTCATGCCGCGTTCAATTCAGCTTTTTACACAGGCAATACAAAATTTTGAATGCGATAAAATAGTGTTATTTTAGAAATAGACAGTTAAAAAACAACAAAAATTAAAAAATAATGACATTTACAATTAACGATTAGGTACTACACTTTAATTTTATATTCAAAATTTATTTTGATTCAATTCATACTGAAAAAAACATCAATTAGTGTCTATAGAGAGGGAACGCCCCTTTCCGCTCGAATTCTGAACGAAAAATCGGCTTTTTTCCGGCCACAGTTGTCTTTGAAAAGTAAGACTATTACCAATCAAGAGCGAATAGGCTGTTTAGTTTACCCTGAAATTACCCAAATAAGTGAACGGTCCCTTTAAGGAGGAAAGGGCCAACAATTTATTTTATCTATGTGTTTAATCATAATCCAAAATCCCATTACTTTTTCAGTACTTTTTAGTTTTTGTGTCTGTCTCAAAATAACTAGAAAGGAGAAAGATAATTAAAACAGAAAAAGTGCCATGCTTACATAGTGTATTATATGAGAGAAATTTAACAACCTTATATTCATAAGGACTAAATAATGTTCATCCCGATCCAGATATTAAGCGATGTACATTACAAATAATTTATTAATAATTAAAAGATAGCAAACAAATATCGATATGAAGATGATAGGGAACTTGAGCTACAATAAAATTTTAACCAACTCTTCAGTCTTTCTTCACTCCTTGGTTTGAAAGGTCATCGTCAACTAACTCTAGTTTCTGTACTGGTTGACCAGCTCACCCCTCTCGAGATTCCCTGATCCCTCCAAAATACCAGGTGAATGCCCCTGGAACCCTGTATACACGGGCCCCTTGCTTTAGCGTCAGGTTTTCCTGCCTCACTATATACAACGTAAAGAATAAGGGATACATATTTCATCCCTCACTTAAATTCAAAAACTATATGAAGAACTACAAACATATTTTAAAATATAAGGTAAACAGAGCCTGAATAATTAATCTGGTACTTTAGTAATTATGAAATGGTTTCGTATAAAGTAATTCCACGTAACTACGCCTTAATTACATGCATCTAGACTTTTTTCCTTTACGTAATAAACACCTAATTTGCGTAACCCTAATTCGAAAGAAACTGGCAAACATACATAGTGCATAATTATATACCCTTATCTATAGCTGAACAAGTCTTCATTATTTCAAGCAATCTTGTAATGTTTATTTGTAAGTAAACAATACTGGGACCTAGGTCAATACAGGTTGGCAACTGAGTTTATATTGTTTTTAATGGGACTGTAAACTTAATTTGAACTGACCCTCCATAGTACCACCTACAGAGTGTGCTCATTCTACCTGTTGGAGACCAGGTATATTTGCTACAAACATAGAAGCAAGGATAAAGCTAAGGAGATAAAACTCCCCCCCCCTGGAGAACTCCTTGTTGCATTTATCTAAATCTAGACTTTAAGCCTTGAAATTTAACGTAGGTCTGACGGCCTCTTAAATAGGCACAGAGAAACCATCTAATATGCCCATTAAGTTGGAGATCATTGACATCACCAAGCAGAATATCATGGTCTACTGTGTCAAAAGCTCTTGACAGATCAATTGCTAATGTTCGGTTTACTTCGGTTCACTGGTTTCTTAGTGTTGAGTACTTTTGTTTTGTGGTTACTAATATTCTGTAGTGCAGTGGTGGTCAAATGTCCTTTCTGGAAACCATGTTGGGGTCTAGCAAGGTTCACCAAGTCTGTTATTTCAGGATTTCGAGAAGGGTTTTCTCATGTATCTTGGCTAGGGAGATAATAAGGATATCGGTAGGTAGAAGGATCCTTGATTATCAGGTTTGCCTGGTTTCAAAAGTGGGATAATGTGTCCTGTTTTCCAGAGGGCAGGAATGGTGGCAGTATTTACACAGTTGTTGTATATTTTAGTGAGGAAAAGGATTCCAAATGGGTCTAGATGTTTCAGAATAAGGAGGGATAATTTGTCTGGACCTAGTGCTTTTGAATTTTTGGATTCTTCTGAGACTTGTGTTGATGTAATCACTACTTTTGGATCTGATGGTGATTTCTGTAGGTTATGTAGAATGGTTCTGGATTATTGGGAAGGTTTTTTTTTAGAATTCAGGGTTTAATGGGGGTTAAAGTTTTTTGCTAACTTTTTTGAAGTGTTGTTCATCGTGTTGCTAAATTTGATATCTTTGTTGTCTGATTGTTTAGGTGCACTATTGAGATTTTTGATTGTTGTCCATAGTTTTTTTGAGTTAGGTTGACAGTAACTGTCAACCTAACTCAAAAAAACTATGTTCTTTGTTCTTTCCGTTTTTGTTGTTAGTGTGTTGATCTTCTGTATATATCTCTGTTCAGGTCTGGAAGTCTTTGTTTGGCTGGGTCTTCATTCCTAAGTCTGTCTCATTCTGTAATATCGTTCAGTGCTTCTGTGGGTATCTCATGCATGTTACACAGGACCATTCAATCAGGGACTTGCCTGGTTGTCTGTTTGGTTGTTTGTCCCTTTGTATCCAATAAACGTCAAAACTGCTGAATTGATCAGGTCAAAATTTTGTGCGAGACCTCACTTGACCCCCTAACTGGAAGGTTTACTGAACAACAAAATTGAAAAATAAATCCTGGAAAACAGTTGTCACTTAATATTCTTTTAGCCTTTTAGCTTAATGGTGTCAGTAAATAAGGGAAATCCATTTCTGGATTTATTCTCTTAGTATGGGAACTCCAGTATTGGATCAATTACTTAAGTTGAATAAATAGAAATAAAGTAATGAATATGTTTTTTAATTATGTCCGAAAGCCAATAATTGGATTGTTGTTAAGACCTGGTATTTTCGTAAATTTAAGGTCATAAAGGGAGCTAGGGGAGGTTTTAAAAAGCTCAAAAATTCCTTAAACATTTTTAAAAAAATTATGTTTCAACACAGATATTAATTTAAGAATATGTTTCCAAATCTAATTTTAAGGGCTTTCCAAAGAAATTTTCTTTTAGCTCTGTAGCTCAATTAATAAAACAAACCATGGACTATTTTTGTTTTTGTTTGAATCACCGACCAGACTTTCCTCCACCCTACAATATGCGTTGAAATATAACATAAACTTTTTTCTTAAAGAAAGTTAAGAAGTTCTGGAGAAAACCAAAAAAGGGGTGGAGGCGGGTCCTTCTTCATTTTGAGATAGGGGTAAGTTATAGAGAAAACCACAGAATGCAGTAGAGAGGGGTGGGGGGGAAACACTTGGTTTACGTAAATGAATACCCCAAATTAANACTCTTATTCAAGATAACACAAGAGAAACTACTATAAATATTCAGGAATTTGCCAGGATAATCAGTTAGCAAGTGAAGCTGACAAATTTTACAAGGTATATTTTCTAACAATTATCAAAAACATCAAAGAGTAGCGTATTCAGAGGGGTCAGTAATTCTCTGACCCATTTTACCTTCCCAGGGTTGAATTAAAAAGCCTAGCATAAATCAAAGATACTCATATATTTTTGGCATTTATACGTTATATTTTTATTTTTAAACCTTGTGTAAAGTAGCTTGATTTGATTAAAAATTACTACAATATACTTTTACTGGTCATAACATTTTCCATGAATTAATATAGTAAATCCCTTAAATGGCCTAATCTTGCTGTAGTCATTTTGTTCTAATTGGGCTTTTCATTAATGTCTAATTTATTATATTTTGAACCTTTTTTGCTTTTGCATTTTTTTTGCTTAATAACTTGATATTGTAATAAAATTTAGCAAAGGGGAATGTCCACATTTCCGTACAAAGGGTGGGGGGGGGCTTCTGACTTTGTTTTAGAGATTTCTCTCTGATTTTTTGCTTGCAGGCCTGAATTGTGATCTAGTTTTTTAATAAAAAACCAAAGTGGGGGAAAAATAATTTTTCCTTAATTTTTCCCGTGTTTTTTTTTAAAAACTTTGTGTTAGGTCTATGTGGGGTGTCTAAAGTCATCAACATTGGGTTGGGAAACTCAATTCTGGACTCTATAATCTATGTCCTACTCTCCTTATACCATTCCCCCCCTTTCCAGCATTTTCCCCCTACTAAAGGTCAAAGAAGCCTTCCAACTTTATTACTAGAGATTTCTCTTGAATCAAACAGCAGAATGTAGGAAAAATATTTTTCCCCCTTTTTTCACGCATTTTTCAGATATTTTTTTTAAACTTTGTGATAGGTTCGTGTGGGGTGTCTAAAGTCACTAACTTTGGGACAGTAAAGTCAATTCTGGACTCTATATTGCATTTTCCCCTCTCCTTATACCATTCACCTTGAATGTAATATGTTCGCTTTTACCCTTTGTGGATTTCCAATTTAAAAAAAAAATATTGGATTTATTACCATTTGATACAAATCATGATATACATATAACTATTCAAAAGATTAAACATATCTATAACTAAGAAAACCATTCTTAACAAATATGATAATAACTTATCTGCATTATTAACTTACATTTAACTTACTTAATAAAGGATTATTATATAAACATTTGTAAACTTTGAAAAAAATAGGTTATTGAACTAAAAAGTTTTTGAAAAAAGGCCTGAAAAACAAGAGAAAAAGTATTTTTCCCCCCACTTTGGTTTTTGATTCAAATACTAGATCACAATTCAGGCCTGCATGCAAAAAAATCAGACAGAAATCTCTAGGAATAAAGTCAGAAGGCTTCTTTGGCCTTTAGGAGGAGGAAAATGCGGAAAAAGAGGGGGGGGATATGATATAAGGAGAGGGGAAAATGCATTAGAGTCCAGAATTGAGTTTCCCAATACAATGTTAATAACTTTAGACACCCCACATGGACCTAACACAAAGCTTTTGAAAAAATGTCTGAAAAATGCAGGAAAAATTCAAGGAAAAATTATTTTCCCCCACTTTGATTTTTGATTAAAAACTAGATCACAATTTTGGCCTTCATGCAAAAAAATTGAGAGAAAAGTCCCACCCCATGGCTATTTTGGCTAAAGAAGACGGCAGCCATTAGTGGGTTAGTATTTTAAGCAACTGAACCTTATTTGACTTAAATAAGGGGTTTATGGTGCAAACTAAATTTTCCTGAACCACCACTCTCCCCATATAACCTACTGTGTTATGAAAACGATAACAAAAAAATTTCGTTTTTCAAAAATGGTCGTTTCTAAAACGCTCGTTTTTAAAACGATTGTTTTTCAAAACGATCGTTTTTATAAGTACATGGTTTTCTGGAACTATGAGGTATTCATGAAAACCTCAAATAAAATACCTTCCACATCAGAATGGTCAGTAAAGATACCCCCAAGAGCTCGAAGCTTTGCTACAGTAATGGTAACACGAAGATATGAAGACCCGGAGAACAGATAGAGAAATTCTCAGAGAGATTCTCACAATCTGTAGATAGAAAGCCAGTCTCTAAGAAAACCGAGCATTCTTCAAAAACTAAATCAAAGTTCAAGGATGACAGATCACAAACAAGGATGGACAAGTATTTAAAGGAGATCGATGATAATCTGGCTTTAAGCACCTCTTCATTTGGATCCTAAAGATCACTAACACCGAGTACCAGAAATTCAACCCGTAGCCCATCTTTCACTACAGAAACCAGAAGAAAGAGACCAATAGATAGCGACACTGATACATCATTAAACCGTGTCTCAACCCGTTCATCTAAAAGAATGGCTTTAAGTTCAGAATAAGCTTTAATGTGTTAATTGCATTTAATATTTTTAGTTACCAGAGACTCGGCAATAATTGTAATTTAAGTCTGGTTCAAAATATGCAAGATATATCCAGTAGAATCGGCAGCAGTTTATAATTTTACGGTTTTTCCTTAAATTTTTGAAATTATCTGAATTGAATAATGGTGAAGGTTTCTTAAAATATTATCAGATTCTAAATATTATCAGGTTCATAATATATGTTTATATCCATTAGATTTGTCACCATGTTAGTATAAATAATATTCAGAATATTTATTCTCAATTTAAACTTAATTTTCTTTTTTATTATTGAATGTTTAAAATGTTGTTTTTGTTGCAAAATAAATGAATTTATTTTTAATTTTGATTTATAATAATTTGTTTTTCAGACAACATGCAAGAAATAATTCAGATTATTTTCGTTATCCTAAATTTAAAATCAGTATCTAAGGTAACACAAGTGGCTATTAAAAATCTAGGATTAAGGATTTCAAATCTCATCAATGAAATAATCAAAGCAAGTAATGTTCTCTATGATAACGGAAAATTGTTTAAACTTTCTTCTGGGGAATCTTTTAATCAAAACCTTGTAAACTGGTTGCAAAACATAGATAATGAAAACTTGAATTTTGATATTAAAAGCAGAGTACTAGAAATAATAGACAGCACAGATTCAAAAATCTTGAAATATAAAATGAAAAATGGAATAAAAACTTTACTGGAAAGAATATCAACGATTCTATTTAAAGAACTAGAAAAACATTTAGCGGAATATGTAACGAAAGAAATTTTAGAGATAAAAAATCCTTAAGAGGTGATTGTTTTTTTAATCTTACAAATGCTCCAGTTTCTAAGGATTTAAGGGAAAAATTAAACCTTGGTAAAAAGTACAGCCCGTTTTTAAAACTCAACAAAGGGAAAGAATTAAAATTGTTTGAACAAGAAATAGCAAATTTATTGAGAAATTACATGAAATCAGAATTTAAGTTAGAAATTTCATTATCCTCAAAAAATATAAATAAAGATTTGAACAAAATGGTCAAATATGTAAAACGAACCAGAAACTCTAAACTTGAAAAGTTTTTGAATAAATTCCGAAGAATCTACAATGAAGTTAAAGAATTATTTAAAACACAACTGTAAAACTGTCAAAATACATCACTTCCTAACTATAAAATTTTCGAGAAGGCCTTTGAGTTAAGTGACGATAGAATAATTGTTGAAGCGGATAAAAATGTCGGATATGTATGTCTATACAAAACGGATTTACTAGATCAGTATACAAAAATAAATATCCAACAACATTTTGGAGCGGTCAATATTACCGAAAACTGGTATCTTGCAAATATTATGAACTTCATTAATGACGCCAAAGTAAACCTTCCTAAAGAGCTTTCTAAAATCGTTTTGAACAAAGACTTTATCTGGAATGAACAAACATCAGAAATAGGTGTATTAAGATTACAACCAAAAGTTCTAAAGTTAAAAGCAATTATCTATCAAAATATTAAAAACTTAACTTCACGAGGGATTAAGAGCTCCATGAAAGATCCGATAAAAATAATTCAAAAAGTTCTTGATAAAATTTTCAATCACTTACTTTTTCATATTGAGGAAACTTTTCAATCCCGATTTGGAATGCTTTCACCATCAGTAACGGGTGTAAATGAAGCCATGGAAAGGATTAAAAATTCAAAAACAGGACTATGGGGCAGATCAATTGAATCAGAAGGGGATTTCAGTGACCTATATTCAAACTGTAATAAAAATTTGTTAACTGAATGTGTGGAAAAAGCATGCTGTTACGCTAAATTACATGAGTCAACTTTTAAGTACATAAAACTTTTATTGATAACATAATGACACACTCATACTTTAAGGAAAAAAGGTTTATTTAAAACCTTAAAGGGCTTTTCAATGGGAGACTGTTCAGCGGCAAGAGGTAGCGAAATTATTCTTAGGATATATGAGATTAAAATGTTCGCAAAGGAATTGAGTCTTTGCCACAAACTTTGAATTCATAATCCCTATATCTTTGGATTCCAATGTCCCAAATCTTTGATATTTCAAACTTACATTATTTGATCTAATAGAATTCATAGTTTGAAATATCTAAGGTCTACGACATTGGAATCCAAAGATATAGGGTTTAGAAAAGCAGAGTTTGTGACAAAGACTCAATTCCTTTAGCAAGGAAAAATTTGTTAAAAAATATTCTAAGATATTTGCGTTTTAGAGACGACATGTCCATACACATTACTGGAACTGATCTAGAGTTGTTTCAAGCCATGCAAATTTTTGGATCAGGGTATCCCCCATGCATAATTTTTAATATAGAATCAAAAGTAATCCATGGAAAATTTCTAAATATAAGAATTTATAACAACCCGGCAACTCAAACACCCTATACAACTGTGCTCCGGAAAGGCCAAAATAAATATAATATAATACCACCAAACTCAAATACACACCATCGCCGGTTCAAACAAATGGCGGGACTAGGTTATTTTAGAACTGTCAGAACTCATTGCAGTACTCGGAATGAAATACAAAACCAATTCAAGGTCGTATACACCATATTAAAATCGAAAGGCTTTAAAAATCACCAAATAAAGAAAATGGAGAAATTTAAAACAAGAAACAACAAAGAAGTAAAAAGGTTCTTATCTAAAACTACTTATAACAGTATTTCAAGAAGACATGAATACATATTAAAAACATTCAAAGCATGCGATATAGACCCAGAGAAGTACTATCAGCCCATGGAAGTTTCCGGACAAAAACTAGAACAAATGATATTTACAGTAAAACAAATGCGTCAAAAACTAAACTTTTGAATAAATACACCAAGGAAACCACTTAAAAACAATCAAAGGATTCATTGGAGTAACTTGAATTACGGGTAATTTTTATATATGATTTGGTGGGTGGGAGTGGTTGACATGGATTCTTTCTTTCTTTCTTTCTTTTTTCTTTTAAATACATAAACTTTATCAGCAAAATAAAACCCTGCATGGGTCTAGTGCCAAGGGGCACTGGACCCATGCTTAAAAGGGTCCAGTGCCCCTTTGAGGAAGCACATTTTTTAGATTTAAAATTTTAAATTACAAATTAAAACAACACTATTTCAGGGGATTCCG